TCTCTTGCCTCAGCCTCCCAAGTAGCTGGGACTACAGGCGCCCGCCACAGCGCCTGGCCATTTTTTGGTTGCAGCCATCATTGTTGTTTGGCGGGCTCGGGCTGGGGATTCGAACCCGCCACCCTAGGTGTATGTGGCTGGCGCCTTAGCTGCTTGAGCCACAGGCGCCAAGCCGACAGCTACTCTTTTGGTGTATATCGTTTGGAATCCTGGAAATGAAATACTGTAGTATATTATCATTTTATAAATTTGTTTTATATATTTGGAATATCTTTAAATGTACTTCTGTAGCATCATTTGAAATGACTGTGTAGTATTTTTTTTGCATAATTGTACCATAATTTATATACTCAGTCTTCTATTACTGAACTTCTAAGTTTTTAACAAATATTTCCCTGTAATAAACTGGAATGATGCAATAAACACAGTTTGGTCTTTGGACACATTTTTACTTATTTTGTAAGATTAACACCTAGAAATGGCCTTATATTGCTGGGCTAAAGATTATGCATGTTTTTTTGACTAGAAGATATAGTTTTAATATATACCTTTAACTCAAATAATAATAATAGATGGATGATTCAAATATATAAGACATTATAATTTTTTAAAATAAAGTTTCATTTTGAATAGTGTAAAGTTTCATTATAGAAACTTCCTGAAAATAGAGAAAAACAAAAAGGAAAAACATGACCAATACACTTGTACTTAAAGATCACCAGAATCAGCAATTATTTTTCAATTTTATTTTAATCTCATGGTTATTAGTATAAGTGTACATGACTTTATAACTTTTTTCAAAGTGTAGTAATTTGAAGTACTATGTTTCTTGCATTTATTTGCTTGTTCACTACATAGAAAAAACATCCACAAAGTTAATCAGTTGATTAGAGTTAATTAGTTCATCTTTCCATTCACAGTTGTGACACCTGATGCTTCAACTGAGGGAACTCCTTCCCTGCCCCCAGGAAGGTTCTGCACTTGTGTGCATTCCCTTGCTAACCACTGTGCTCCTCACCCTCTTTTTAGGTGCCAGAACTGGGAAGGCGGCATTGGCGGGGTGCCAGGGATGGAAGCCCACGGCGGCTATACTTTCTGTGGCCTGGCTGCGCTGGTAATTCTCAACAAGGAACGTTACTTGAACTTGAAGAGCTTATTAGTAAGTGTCTGAGAACTGTCTTTCTGTTAGGCCCAGGTCACTGGAAACATGACTGGACTCAGATATGCTGGCTTCGGGAGGGTGTGGCTGTGGGAAGGGCTAACAGTTGACCTTGAGTTCACAGACTCAAGTTCTGGGGTGAAGCTTTACATATTGTCGTTGGAGCTCTCCCTCTCAGCTCCTCCTTCTTTTCTGTCTTTCTGCTTGTAACTTTGCATGAGTGTTAGGCCATTCCAGATGTTCTGCAGATACCTGGTATGAACCAGAGTACCTTCCTCATACACCAGTCCCTTAGAATTAGAGGTTATCATGCATCTTAGAAAGAATCTTCTAAGAGGAAAAGTTATAAGAAGAGCTCTGAAGCATTTCGAGGCCCAGCTTTTATTACTTGCTGCACTGTGTGAACATTTAGTACCTACACTTAGATGAGTTCTCTGGGCACAGCTGGGTAATTGGGCTGAGAAGCCAGCCCGAGCATTTATGTCTGAGTGGACCCCGTGCTCTTGGCAATATTGGGAATGAAGTCAGAGAGCATCCAGCTTGGGGAGAATGATCACTGTGCCCTAGTGGACAAACACACATCTGCTTCCACAGCCACCAAGAAGGAGGTGTTCCCCCTTGTGTAATTTGGGGAGCATGCACCCTGACCTCAAAGCATACCAGCTGCAGCCGACATGCCGCTCCTCTCCCAGTTTACACACTGACCCCATGCGGCCTGTCGTTGTGAGCTAGTTTCTGTTGTACTCTGAAGAAAACTAACTCCTAGATTTTGCCTTTACCCTTAGAAAGCCTCCAAGTGTAAGCGCTTCTTAAATTTTCTTTAAGGCTTGAAAGTTTGTGCCAAAACAGCCAACATTGTGCACTGGGCTTAGAATTTATCAGATGTTTTAAAATTTGATCAACAACAAGGGAAGAAACAGAAAAGTCCCATCTCCCAGGCAGAAATAAGGAATGTAACTAGTGAATGCCTGAGTTATTATGATAGTCTTCTAGATTTGAACCCTGCACCTGCTGTTTCCCACACATGGGATCTCGGGCAAACTGTCTAATCTATTTTAGGGTGAGCTTTTTGTTCTTCCTTCTGTAAAGTAGAAAGTAGGGATGACATTCCTATTCTTTGAAGATGAAAGGAAAGAAAGGCACATAATAGGTGCTTAGTAAATGTTAGTATCTCTCTTACCCAAACTATTCCATTCCCTCTGATTGCTTTGGGAGAACTTAGACCCTGTAACTGAAGGATTTTATGAAATCATATAGCAGAGAGAAACAGGAAACTCATGGGTTCAGGTACTTCAAAATATAAATTAGTCTGACCTAAAAACAGTTAAGTTGTGGGTAAGTAAAAATAAAGAGCGGACCGCTGCTGCTGTTCCTGCTTTTTCTCGTCTTGAGCGATGCTTAGCCCACTTTGAGTGTGCATTGTCCCTAAAACGCTGGTCATTTAAGACCAGCTGAGGATGTATCAGTACGTGGGCCCATAGTACAGGGTTTTATGTCTTCCTTCTAAGAGTTTGGGATTGTGACTCTCTGTGGGTAGGTGTTCCCTTGAACAGGGATGTGATTTAAATTCTGCAACTGTTAAGGGAGAGCTGGACCCCTCTTCCATTGAGGGTCCCTAGTGACTATTTTCAGAAACTCAATCTATTAAGACTCTGGACCCAGGAGAAATATCCTGCCTGGTACCCAGTCAGCTCAGTGGGGGCAGTGGAAGCCCACGCTGGTGGCTGGAGCTGCCTAGGAGGGCCGGGGAGGGAAATGGAAATGCCATATCTGTCCCGCCAGCTGGGTCTGCTCATTCCTGGAGGCCAAACCCATGGCTATCTTGATCTTTGTAAGAGCGTGTGTTTAGAAAGCTTGGAGATAAAGCAGGCGTGGTAGTGTCATGTGTGATCACTGAGTGACATCAGTAGCTATTTTATACCTTCATTGTGAAAGATTTTCTTTTTTTTTTTTTTTTTTT